TCCTTCCACAAAGCTTTGCTAATCCCTCAATTCAACACTGGATTTTGCCCAGTAGTTATTTCTCTGCCTAAAAAAACATCATTAAAAGTGTTCATTATAGAAGTCAAACAAAACAAGTTCTCCATGAGCTGGTGTCTACAGATAACAATTTAGAAAGTGCTGATTATGTACAGTATAGGCAGCACCCAGCAAGATCTCTTCAAAATGAATGGGAAAATTTATGTTAAACTCTTGAAAGTTACTGCCCTCTGAAGACAGCATTATAAGTGCTTTATTAACTGGGTGGAGGGAGGCAATACCATCTATTTTTACAATGTTAACTTGTAGTTCTCTAAAGTAGAGGCTCAAAATTAAGATATTGGTTTGAGTTTTTCTGTACCTTTGTGATTCACGTTATTGGAAGCCAGGTGCTTAAAGTTCAACTAGATTTATATATAAGAAAAGTGGTGGTTTCATTTCCTAAAAGCTAAAACATTATAAGATCCTTAACTATGGTCCAATGGGTAGTGAGAATATTACTAAGTGCCTTGGCCTGAGCAGAACATGATTTTTGAGGCAAGTGACTATCAAAGACTGGTTCATCTGGTCAACCACTACCCATCCCTAGATTCAACCTTCTTTAGCAGATGTTGTCAAGGAGTCCATAATCTGTAAAATTCTTTGACAGTGACATTCTGGGGATCTGGAGCAGAGATGTAGGAAAGTGTTATTTTCTTATTACATTGCAGCACTGTCCAAAGGGCTGGCCAGTTGACTTCAGCATAGTGCACTCAGAAGGCTGCAGTGTATGGAGAAAGAGGGATGGGCTTGAATAGATAGGAGAATTAATGTGGGTGGGACTGGGAATTAGGGCTGGGTTAAAGAACACCCATGTAGCCATCAATCCACTTTGTGCTACTAAACTACTGGACCCCAGATGTAACCCTGGAGTCTATGGGAGTATGCTTGGCTTGAGGTTGAGGGTATCTACGAAACTGATCATCAGGGTCAGGGGAGAGGAAACAAGAGATGTTTCAATTGCCATGGCCAGGCAGCAGCTATTCCTGTTGCCATTCTCCACATTGCCTTCACCTCAAGCTGTGCATTTTCTTCCATGGGCTGTGCACCATGTGAGAGCTACAAATGATTCTTTGAAAGGAAGGTTATAGGGCATCATTGTAGAATAAGTTAAAGTGAAAGTACTTTGACATTCACACTTATTAAAGAATGACTACCTATATTATTAAGGTACTTTTGTAAAATTCTTTTTCACTATCAATTGATTTAAGGTTGTATGTATAATGGCACTATGCTCACTTACATGTCCACATACCTTCTTGAACAGGAGAGAAAGCAAGAAGGTTGGGAACTGCACGGAACTCTGAATGCTCCCGTGAGAGTGTGTTAGGCACAAGAATATCAGCATTATTTGGAGACACTGCTCCAAATAATGAAAGCTTTTTCTGACCAACATTATTTCTATTGGGTGTTCTGTTTTTTGAAAGAAAATATTACAGACATAAGGTTATGAAATTTCCAATGTTAGTATAAAATTATTAAGCAGTGGGTTTCTCAGCCTTCCTTGTGCCCCTTTGTTACCTTCATCTCTTCCCCTCTTACTACCCTGTCAAGAGAAAGGATAAAAGATTCTCAGGTGAATCCTTGAGAAAAAGCAATTAGAGTAAAACAAAAACCATGGGGACCTAGTGGCTGAGAGAGTTATGTCAGTGTAAAAGTGTGCGAGAACCCTGGGAACATGGGGATAGTAGAAAAAAGGCAAGTGTAGGAGAGTTTAAATAAGAGTCACTATGGGTTATACACTCAGACTCCTCTTCCAGTCTGAGAGCTGTATGGGAGGAAAGGCTGCAATTCTACACCCTGTCACATTTCCTTAATCCAGTATCTCTCTGGGACAAATGCTGGGCTTTGAGATTTGGGGGATGGAGGGGCAGTGTCACGATTTTTAAGCATAAAACAAACCAGTCATTCTTTAGCTAACATCACTGTCCTTTAATTTCCCATGCCTTTTCTCACTAAACTGTCTCAGTACTTTGGGGTCGGGGATAGGGTGAGGGTAGCATTGGAGGTGAGGGGCTAAACGGGAACCGTTCAGGTTACTGTGAAGATAAGAAGGCTGATAAAGGTTCTAGCATAATATTGAGTACCTTTTGAACTCCAGTTCCTTTTGTTTCTCAAACAAATGTATGTTAGGGGAAAAAGCAGTAGTGCACAGGCCTTTGTCAGAAACAAAGAAAATCAGTCACAAAAACTTACATTTGGTTCTCTAGAGATGAGACTTGAGGGTTGAATCAAACTGCCAAGTGTATATAAAGCACCAAGTTCTGGCCCTGTGGGCAGCACCTCACAGAGCCTGCCATGCACTAGCCTGGGCACTAGTCACTGCACACCCCATGAAACCTAAATCTCTGGCCCTCAGGCATGAGCCCTCAGCTTGACTTTACCTTGTGATCATGTTGACTTTTGGTATTTTCTCACCTCAGATTCCTCATCAGTATTTTCCAAATGTGATGAACATTCATAATCTTGATAAGTCAGGGAAGAAATGGTTTTATCTGCTTTTCTTCAAAAAAGAAGGCTCTTACCTGCCTGCTTGCACAGCCATAGAACAGATAGGGAGCTCTGCTGATGGGCACTGGCTGTGGGGTCCGTTGACTCTATACCACAACAAGAAGCCCAGAATGAATGATTTTAGTTTACAGGTGCTAATGTTTTTTCATTAATGCAGACTTGCTCCATGAGCCCTTTCCACCAGCTCTTTCTCCTCAATGTTAAAGTGTGCTTGACTCTTCCATGAAACATATAAAGGCAAAAGCTAAGAAACATCATTTCTAAATACTTCTTTTTCTCTTCAGAGACAGATTTCTTGGAAAAACAGTACTTTGTATTGCTTTTCTCTCTGACCTCATATTCACTCCTTCATTGTAATCTATCTTAAACAACTTTATTGAAAATTCTCTTGCAAAGGCTGCTGGTGTACACTTGAGCACCTTGTTACTAAATTCAATGGGTATACTTCACTTTTTATTTTCCTGAAGCTTTGTGGGGCCTTGGAAATCACATTCCTTGAATCTCTTCCCCTTTTCGGTTTCTATGATACCACTCCTTCCCTGTTTTCCTCATTACCTGTCTGGCTCTTTTTTCTTAGTGTACCTTGGTACTATCCTTTAGTTTATTTCTTGCATCTTTGTATTCCAGAGGGTTGTATTCTTTTCCTCTGTTAATTTGCATTCTTCTTTTTCTTTAAAAAAATATTGTATTGATTTATTTTTAGAGAGAAGGGGAGGGAGGGAGAAAAAGAGGATGAGAAACGTCGATTGGTTAGACTGAACGTGCAACCAAGGTATGTGCCCCTACTAGGAATTGAACCAGCCTTTTGCTTTGCAGGACAATGCCCAACCACCTGAGCCATACTGGTCAGGGCCAATTTGCATTCTTTATACTCTCTATGGGTTGTCTTAACTATACTTAGAAGTTCAGGTACAGTTTGTATGCTGATGATCTTCAAATTTACATCTCTAGCCCAGATATTTTTACCTGAGGTTCAGCCTACAAATATAACTGCCTGTAGGACATCTTTACATATAAGTACCACAGGCATCTTCAAGTCAGCATGTTTAAAATGGTGTCATTTCTATTCCAAAAATTTGTCCTTCTTCCTGTCTCCTTTAGTGGTAATAACATCAACCAGCTTGTCTAAGAAAGAAACTTGACAAATGTACTTGATTCTTTTCTCTCCTCCTCCCTCTATATCAATGACCAAGATACATTCATTTCCCTTGCCTAATAACAAATCCTTTTTTAAAATCTCATGACCCTAACCTTATTCCCATTGTGTAAGCAGGCCCTGATTTTTTTCTAGCTTGTATTGCTGCAAATATATAATTGTCTCTGTTTCCAGTCTCTTGTTTTTTGCTCCCAGTGGCCATTCCATTATCCTGCTGAAAAATCTTCAATGGCTGCCATGGCTTTTAAAATCAGAGAGCCTTCCATCTTCCTGTCCCACCCCCACTTTACAGCTTCCTGTGTTGGACTGCTTCAGGGAAGATGAGCTAGAGTAATAGTTTAATCTCTGGCTATTTCATGCTTGGCTTCACTTTACTAAGGCTGCCAATTACTGATTTAGAGGTGAACTCTGATATACTCTGCTGTAAGCTAAGGCTTGTTTCAACCAGTCCTAGAAGAGCTTTTGGCCTTATTGTCACTAAAAACCTGTACTGATTTGAACCTGTGGCCTAAAGTTAAATATCCTGTTGGCTACCCCCTGAGTCAGGAAGGTGAGTTATTTTTAAGTCCAATTTGGCCTAAATAAAGAAAGATATTTCAACTTAATATATTTTAAATGTAATAATTTCAGACACAGAAGGTAGTTTTTTTCTTCTACTCTCCCCTTCTTATAATTGCTTTTCAAAGAGAGGTGAGTAGATCTCAACTCTACTGCCTTATAAAATGGTGTGTGAGTGCCTTCATTATCTTGTCATCTGTCTTTCTCTGGTTTTAGGTTTGGAAAGTAACAATAGCTGGGTGTGATCATATCAGCAGGAAACATCCTTGCTCTTGGCTGATTCACAAATTGCCCATCTTGTCTGCCATTTAAAATAGAGGGACAGAACATATATAAAATGGACAAGAAAATTAAAGGGGCTGCAGGCATGCACATATTCTACTTATAAAGGTAAAGAAGAATCAGTAAATAAAGGATATGTAAATACCAAAGTAAATACCAAAGACCCACACAAGAAAAGCATAAAGAAATTCAGAAAGATTACACATGGAAAAAAGAAAAGAGGAACCTGTTTTCTTGTAAAAAATCATTTTTTTTCTAAAATATTAATAAATTGCTTTTTCAGCTGTTAAATAAAATATAGTTATTTTATAGTTATTTTATAGTTGATTTTAACTAGGTGGTTATTAAGGCAAACTTTCTCCTCTCTGTTAGTCTTGTCTACAGTCTGAAAGAAATTATGATTGTCAAGGGGGAAAATCAACTTTATGCATCTTACACAAGGATGTCCTCCACCAGAGTGTGAAGGGCACTGGGATTGCGGATCAGTTTGTCAAGGAAGCTGACAATGTCAGTAAATTTTGGTCTGTGATTTCTCTCTTTCTGCCAGCAATGGAGCATCAGCTGATGTAGAGACGCTGGACAGCCCATGGGAGCCGGAAGTCTGTAACCTTCTTCAATGGACAGAATGACCTAAATGCAAGCACACAAAGGTTATTTTCTTATTTTGGGGGACATAGAACACATATGCTAAGTTATGATTTCTTTTTATGCAGGAAAAAGAAGCTAAAATATTGGTAAGCATGAACACTACTTGTGAATTCAAATGGTCCAGACAAGGATATATACAAAAGTTGTGAGCAAAAATTGCAAATATCTCTATAGTACCTTCTGATGTCCCTGAGAGGAAAATATATGTTTTAAACATGTATACAGAAGGCAGGTTAAGTTTCATCACAATACCGAACAATAGTGTTTGTATGATTTAGCTGGAACATCTCAAAACCCAATTAGGACATTAGAAAATCAGCATTCAGAGCAAACCATGTGTGACAAATATTTTAAGAAAAATGTAGTTCTGCTGAAGCACTGAATTCCTACATAATTTTTTATCCTTTTACAATAAGTCACTGTGTATTCTTTTTCTAGTTATGATTTCTTCTTTCTTCTTCATTACCTATTGAATTCTTATTCCTTACTTCTGCCTTTCCCATAGTTTGATTCATGATTATAAACCCTCTCATGACTTTTAAGATAATTTAATCTTTGAAATGTTATTAATGCCTAGTTGAAGGCCACAAAGCACCAGGAGTTTAGCCTGAGCATCCTCTGGGCCAACACCCTCCAATAGAACTTTCTGTGATGATGGAAATGTTTTCTCTGGCCAACATCATAGCAACCATGGGGCACCTGAAATGTGGTTAGTAGGCCCAAGGGACTGAATTTTTAGATTTAGTAAGTTTTAATTAAAATTTAAATAGACACATGTGGTTAGTGGCTACTCTATGATACAGTGCAGTTCTAGAGAAAGAACTCTTTATAAGAAGCCAAAGTTAAGGACAAGAAGATGATGATGGCTTTTTTCTTTTTTCTTTATGTACTTAGGGAATCACGTTTGTGATGAGACAAGTTATTTATTTGCTTAATATGTAATCCATCTGGGAATTTCTGAACAATGCAATTAAATTAACCCTGTATTTATGTAACTTATTTTTCATAACATGTTCAAAAGTATTCATATAAGCCTTTATTTTTATATTATTTCTTTTAGAAAAGCAAAGGAAAGGTTTTTTCCCCCATTTTTGAGGTGGGAAAACTGAGGAGAAGCAAATATTTAAAGACAAACAAACACAATACAACCTCACCCTTGTCCCCTGTCAACAACAGAAATATGAAAGTGCTGGACTTCTGGTTAAGATGGCAGTGTAGGCAGGCCTGGCTCATTTCTTTGCACAGCCACATCAAAATTACAACTAAAATATAGAACAAGCATCACTCAGAATCTTAGAAATCCAGTTGAATGGAAGTCTGACAACTATGGAATTAAAGAAACCACATCCATCCAGGCTGATAGGAGGAGCGCAGATGTGGAAGAGGCTGGTCCCTCATGCACATATAGTGGATAAAAATTCAGGAGGGATATCTCAAGAGCAAAGAGTTCCAGCCCCACACCAGGCCCCCTGTCCCAGGGTTCCAGGCCAGGAAGATAAGCCCCACAACTTCTGGCTGCAAAAACCAACAAGGATTGAGTTGGTGGAAGAAACAGCTGGAGCTCCAAGCAATTCCTTATAAAGAACCCACACACGGACTCACCCACTCAGACTCACTTCCTCTGATCTCCAGCAGTGGGGCAACAGCTTGAAAGGCAGCTCTCAGTGGCATACAGGGAGAAACTAAAGTGTCTGGCATCAAAGCTAACAGAAGACATTGTCCCTTTTCTAACACCTCCCCCCACAGAGCTGGCAAGCTGGTGCTGTATCTGAGACTCCATTGACCTGGCTAACACTGACCTGCCTGGGAGATCCTCAGAGACTCTACCCCACCCAACTTATGGGCCCACTCAAGCTGCTTTTCTGTATGAATTGTTGGTCTTGGATCATGCTTCACAACTTCCTAAATCCCCTCAAACAAATAAGAGCTGGATTCAGAAAGCCCCAGTCCCACCACTAGCAGCAGCCAACCTAGACTCACAGCTTGGCTTTGAGTGAGAATCTCTAAGCACAATACAAGTAGAAGCTATCTCATTGCTTTATGGCTCAGGAAGGGTGGCACTGGTACAGACAGGGGCTGACCTGGGCATACACCACTGGGAACCCCTAGGGCCAATGCACCCAGTGGACAGTTACAGGCTATGTCAGAGCACCACCACATTGCCCTTGCACAGCTGATGTTCCACGGAGGGTGGAGGTTGGTGATAAGTGGTCATAGCCAATCCTTACAGCTGACTGGCCTGGGTAAATCCCTCCCATTGATCTGCCAACAGCAACCAAGGCTCAACTACAAGAGGAGGATGTACTCAGCCCACATGAAGGGTATACCTTGAGCACTCAGCTTGAGTGATAGGGGAGGTTGTGTCATTGGACCCTACAGGATACCTACTATATTAGCCACAGTACCAAGGCATGAGGTCAAAGCAGCTTCACATAGTAGAAACAAACACAGGGAGGCTGCCAAAATAAATATACAGAGAAATATGGCCCAAATGAAAGAACAGATCAAAACTCCAGGAAAAGAACTTAACCAAAATGGAGTTGAGTAATCTATCAGTTGCAGAGTTCAAAATACTGGTTGTAAGGATGCTCAAGGAACTTAGTGAGGACCTCGGTAGCATAAAAAATATCCAGTCAGAAATGAGGGATTCTCTAATTGAAATATAGAACAGTTTACAGAAAATCAATAGTGGAGTGTATGAAGCCAAGAATCAAATCAATGTTTTGGAACATAAGGAAGCAAAAAAGAAAAACAAACAAACAAACCCCCCCCCCCCAAAACCAATCAGAACAACAAGAAGAAAAAAGAATCCAAAGAAACGAGGAAAGTATAAGCAGCCTCTGGGACAACTTCAAGAGATCCAACATTTGCATTATATGGGTGCCAGAAGGAGATAGAAAGAGCAAGAAATTAGAAATCTATTTGAAAAAATAATGAAAGAAAAATGTCCTAATTTGGTGAAGGGAATAGACATGCAAGTCCAGGAAGCACAGAGATTTCCAAACAAGATGGATGTAAAGAGGCTCACTCTAAGAAATCATAACTAAAATGCCAAAGGTTAAAAGTTAAGATTCTCTAACCTTAAAAGGAGCAAGAGAATATAATTTTTCTAAAGAAACTTTGCAGGCTAGAAGGGATTGGCAAGAAATATTCAAAGTCATGAAAATCAGGGACCTACAGCTGAGATTGCTCTACCTAGAAAAGCTATCATTTAGAATTGAAAGGCAGATAAAGAGCTTCCCAGACAAGAGAAAACTAAAGGATTTCATCATCACTGAACCATTATTATATAAAATATTCAAGGGACTTATTTCAAAAAAGAAGATCAACATTGTGAACAATAAAATGGCAAAAAATACAAATCTAGTAACAATTGAATCTAAAATAACAAAGTAAGCAAAGAAGAAGAACAGAGGCAAAATCATGGATATACAGAGCATTTTAATGGTTGCCAGATGGGAAGGCGGTTGTGTGGGAATGGGTGAAGAGGTGAGGGGACTAAGAAGTATAAATAGGTAGTTACAGAATAGCCATGGGATATAAAGTACAATATAGGATATGGAACAGCTAAAGAACTTATATGCATAACCCATGGGCATGAACAATAGTGGAGATTGGCTGAGGGAGTGAGGGATGATGGGTGGAGGGGGGCAAAGGGAGAAAATCAAGACAACTCTAATAACATAACCAATGAAATATAATTAAAAAGTAAAAATACAAGTATTAATATTGCTAACAGAAGAACATCCTTTATTGTAGCACCATTTACATGTGTTCTGTAATTAAAAAAACACATTTTAATTTCTTTAAAATTGATGCTATTTGACATGGCTTTAAAATATACATAATTTATACTAGAGGCAGTTTGCAAATAGGAGCTGTAAAATGCCTTCAGGAACCTCTTAACTCCAAAGCTTTAGTAGTTTTTATTTTTTATTTATTTTTTTGCTAATAGGGAATTTCTCATAATCTTATCAGTGTCTTTGTGACCAGAACATATTAATCTACCAGGATACTAGCATTTTTCTATTCATTTTCTATTCCATTAAGAAAAGGATTTTTTCTCATCTGTCTTCTGACTACTTTTGCTACCAACTAGGCTTGATGTGTAAGACATTTTACAACATATTTTAGTACAACAGATGTATGTAAAATGCTTGTAATACATCAAAACAACAGTAGACAGTTTCTAAAGTTCTAAGAAAAATAGGATAGAATTCCATTACAGAAAGACTTTAAAATCCCACTGTAGAATAGCTGTCTAGTAGATTTACCAGAGTTATCTAATTATATGTACTTAGAATAAAATAGATGACAAGTGAGGTTATATTAGAAATATAGAAAATAGCTGTCTTTATTGAGTATCTATCATGTGCTAGGTGCTTTGCATATTTTTATTTACTGCTTAAAATAATTCAATATGGTAGTTAATTAATTAATTAATTAATTAATTGTTCAAGTACAACTGTCTCCATTCTTAAACAAAAAAATTCCAACACAGAGTGGTTAGGACAATTGCCTAAATTTACACAATATAGGTGGCAGACGTGGAATTTGAACTTCTAAATTCCTTTTAGCTTCTAAAATTCCTTTTAGCTTCTAAAACTTTCCTCTGGCCATTCTGTAGAAATGCTTTTTAGTTTCATGATATAATACCTTCCTCTGCAATTTTATATCAACTTACATAATTTCAGGAGTGATTATCATGCTATTTTTTGTCATAGCATCTACTAATAAGACTTTAGTTTTTTTTTAAGATTTTATTTATTCACTTTTAGAGAGAGGGGAAGGGGGGAGAGAAACATCAATATATGGATTCCTCTCCTGAGGCCCCTACTGGAGACCTGGCCTGTAATCCAGGCATGTGCCCTTACTGGGAATTGAACTGGCTATCCTTTGTTTTGCAGGTTGGCACTCAATCCACTGAACCAAACCAGCCAGGGAAAGACTTCAGTGTTTTTATTTGGATCTTAAGTTAAATA